TATTATGATGAGGAAGAGGTTTATTATGATGAGGAAGAGGTTTATGATAACGAAAGGTATGATGATAAGGAGGAGGAAGAGGTTTATTATAATGAGGAAGAGGTTTATTATAATAAGGAAGAAGTTTGTTGTTTGTTATAATGAGGAAGAAGTTTATTATAATGAGGAAGAGGAGAAGGAGAAGGTTTATAATGATGAGGAAGAGGAGGAGGTTTATGATAATGAGAAGGAGGGGGAGGAGGTTTATGATGATGAGGAGAAAGATGAATATAAGGAATATGAAAATTAAAGACGAAAATGAGAAAGAGAAAATATTTAAACACTTATTCTGTTAAAAATATGTTTGTCATTTGTTATTTAATTTTCTTAAAATTCATTTAAAGATAGGTTATTATTATTATTTAAGAAAATATTATATAAAGAGGTATTTATTTTGATGTTTGGATAAAATTTGAATATGGTTATTCTTTTATTATAAAATTTTATTTTAACATTGGTTAACTAATAAAATTTTTTAATAAAATTCATTTCTTCAATTCCATATGTTAAAAATATGTTTAAAATTTAATTTTGACGTCAAAATGTACTAAGTATGCAGTCTGCGATTATTAATAATCTCTAAGAGATAAATATTAACTTTACTCTTTAACCAAAGATTTTAGACTGTTCAAAAACAATAGAAAAAAAACTTGATCGCATACAACTTTCTATTATGTACTGTATATTCTTGCATTCCTGAAAATTTATATAGATACTCTATACGTATGCAAAATTGATTGGTTTACGAATAGTATCCTATCTTAAGATGCGACTAATTATTATTTCGAACTTAACGTGTTTATATATAATTATTGCAAACTGTAAGAACTTCCCACATTTACTCTCCAAATCATCTTTTCTGCGAGCAGTCCCTTTAATTTTTAAACCTCAATTGCAATCTTCTATCTCTGAAATTTTCTTTACGCATCTAGTTTAACAAACACACATCATACTAGCGAGAAAATTTTGTTCAGTAAAAAAAACTAAGGCGGATTAAATTTTAACGAAATCAATTTCACCTGTAAATGTGCTGATATGTTCTAAAGTGATGGTCGAACTTCAAGATAATAGTAGAAAGGTCATGCGAAAACTGTGTGCAAAATACACATGATCATACCTTTGCCGTCACCATCAACAAAAACATTATTCGTTCTTTTTCTTCACCCATCTTTGCACTCAACAATCGAACAACATTAAAACCTCTCGTAAACATTGTTTTTAGATAGAAATACAGAAAGTATCGAAAAAGGAAACTGAAATTTTTTCTGAGAAAAATTTTTTTATCATGTAAGTATTTAGATAAAAATTAAAATAAAAATTTGTTATTAAACTTTGTAAATTATGAAAATAATAAAGTTATCTATTATTATTTACAGTATAGATATTATTTATAAGTATATGAATTGGTGTCAGAAATAATATTAAAAGAAAAATCAAATATTTGTTTTGAAAAAAATCAAGTATTACAATTTTAAGCACTGTAAATACGGTATTTCGTATTACTTTATTTTTTAAAAAACCTATCAATAGCATATTAAAATATTTATTAACAATAATTTTTTATTATTTTATCAAAGAAAAAG